GGGCGCAGCGTCCGGCGGATGGTTTACATTCTTGGCATAGCTTCTCCCAACCGCAGGCCGGGACCCGGGCCTCCCGCTCCTCCTCCTCCTCCATGGCCTCCTATCCTGTCGGCAGCGGCGGGGCTGCCAGCTCCAGCGAGGAGGAAGAGGAGGGCCCGCCGCCGCTGCCGCCCGGGGCGCAGAGCCCGGCCTACCACGGAGGCCTCTCCTCCGGCAGCGAAGAGGACCAAGATGGTGAGGGCAGCCGCCGCTGGAGAGGGAGGCCGGGCCCCGGGCCGGGGAGCGCTCTCTTGGATGAGGACTGTAAGCCAGACAGTTGTGGGTTAAACCTGCGCAGCATGGACTCGGTTAGGGGAGCCGGAAGCCTGGAGCCCCCGACATCTCCCAGAGCCCCTGTTGAGGAAGGACCCCGGGAGTGGGGTACTGACTCACCTCCTTGTGCACCGGGTCCCCCCCAGGAGGGACTGCGGTCTTTGTCAGACACTGTGGGGGGAGCTTTCCGAGTGGCTAAGGTGAGCTTTCCCGCCTACCTGGCCAGCCCATCCGGCTCCTGTGGTAGCAGCCGCTACTCCAGCACGGAGACCCTCAAGGATGAGGACCTGTGGGCCAGCCGGGGCTCTGGGAGCTGGGGTGTGTATCGTTCCCCGAGCTTTGGAGCTGGAGAAGGGCTCCTCCTAAGGTCCCAGGCTCGAACCCGCACCAAGGGACCCGTGGGCACCGCAAGGGCATTGAGGGATGGAGGATTGGAGTTGGACAAGAGGCGGCAGCGCAAGTCCCTGTCAAACCCAGACATTGCCTCAGAGACCCTAACTCTGCTCAGTTTCCTGCGCTCGGACCTTTCAGAGCTGAGGGTCCGAAAGTCTGCTGGGCGCCCCGGGGACCTTGGGAGTAGCCCCTTAGATGGCAGAGACTCACCATCAGCACGTGGCATGGGGGGGCAACTTGGGCCTATGGCCCCAGCAGCCCCAGCAGCACCTGGCACCCGCCCCACGCTCAAGGATTTGACAGCCACCCTTCGAAGGACAAAGTCATTTACCTGCTCTGAGAAGCCCGTGGCCCGCCGCCAACCCCGCACCAATGCCCTAAAGCCCAGCTCCTCTGAGCTCCTGCTGGCAGACCCCGGCGCCGAGGAGGACCCACTGCCCCTCATTGTTCAGGATCAGTATGTCCAAGAGGCCCGCCAGGTTTTTGAGAAGATCCAGCGCATGGGTGCCCAGCAGGATGATGGAAGTGACATCCCGCCTGGAAGCCCTGAGTGGGCAGGGGACATGGCCCACGGGCAGCGGTCCCAGGAGGAGCTCTCCGGCCCGGAATCCAGCCTGATGGACGAGGGCATTGGGGCAGACCCTGAACCTCCTGTTTCAGCCTTTTGCAGCCTCGGCACCACAGGGGTATGGCGACCCCTTAACTCGCCTTCAGCCCAGACCAACCAAATCCCTGGGACTGAAGACAGTGTGGGAGGGTGGTCCCTGGTGGCTCCTGATACTCCTCCCACACCAGGTGCCCTCCGCAGGAGACGAAAAGTCCCACCTTCAGGCCCAGGTGGGACTGAACTGAGCAATGGGGAGGCAGGGGAGGCCTACCGGTCTCTAAGTGACCCAATTCCTCAGCGCCACCGGGCTACCACTTCTGAGGAGCCCTCTGGGTTTTCTGTGGATAGCAACCTCCTGGGCTCACTGAGCCCCAAAACAGGGCTTCCAGTAGCCCCAGCCGTGGATGAGGGCTTGACCAGCGGCCACAGTGACTGGTCTGTGGGCAGTGAAGAGAGCAAGGGATACCAGGAGGTCATTCAGAGCATTGTTCAAGAGCCTGGTGCCTTGGGGCGTGTGGTGGATGACAGGGTGGCTGGCAAAGCCCCCAAGAAGAAATCGTTGAGTGACCCCAGCCGCCGTGGGGAGCTGGCAGGGCCTGGGTTTGAGGGCCCCGGAGGGGAGCCCATCCGAGAGGTTGAGCCCACGCTGCCTCCATCCAGCAGTGAGCCCATTCTTGCAGATCGACAGGCAGAACCAGGAGAGCCTAGTCCTGCCAGGGGCCGGGCACAGTCTGAGATGGCTCTGCCTGAACCCCTGTCTACCTGCCCCAGTGCCCACCATGACTTCCACCTTGACCCTAAACTGGCTGACGTTCTGTCCCCACGGCTCATCCGCCGTGGCTCCAAGAAGCGCCCAGCCCGGAGCAGTCATCAGGAGCTACCGAGAGAGGAGGGCCATCAGGCCCGACCCTCCTCCAAACATGTTCGCCATGCCAGTGTGCCTGCCACCTTCACACCTATCGTGGTGCCTGAGCCACCGACTTCTGTTGGCCCCCCTGTGGCTGTGCCAGAGCCCATGGGCTTTCCTGCCCGAGCCCACCCCACATTGCAGGCACCATCCCTCGAGGATGTCACGAAGCAGTACATGCTGACCCTCCACTCTGGCGAGGTGCCTGCCCCAGTGCCAGTGCCAGTGGATATGCCATGCTTGACTCCAGTGGTTGCACCGCCCTCTGCTGAGGCCAAGCCCCCGGAGGCAACCCGGACTCCAGAAGAGCCTGCCCCTGCCAGCAAGTGCTGCAGCAAGCCGCAGGTGGTGAGTCCTTCGTGGGGGGCCGTCAGGGTGGGGCTGAGGGAAGGCCATGGGCGCTGACTTCTGCAGGAGTGCTCAGTGGGCAGGTACCCAGGTCTGAGGGTGCTTCTCTGGTCCTGGCAGTGCTCAGGCCGTTTTAAGAGTGTGAATGACAGAGGGCTTCTACCTGTTCAGGCCCCAGGGGCTTCAGGCCTCTGCTAGTGCTAACTCAAAGGTTCTTACCTGCTCCAAGGTGCTCTGGGTGATAGTTACACAGGGTTTTAATCTTGTCCTTCAGCTGTTTTCCAGGGATTGACTTTAGAGATTCCTATCTGGTTCTGTGTTTTAAATACACAAGGAGATGGAAGAGTGATGGAACTTTCTAGAGAGCCTTGCTGCCCCATTAGCCGGACCCCTTGTAGGATGTTTGGGGCTGGGGGGCCCACAGTTGACTTGGGTTTGCCCTCCCCCAGTGGCTTTCCTCTGATAGATTAAAGTGTGGGTCTGTCCCTGGGCCTGGGAAAATTGGAGAGAGACAGGCATTACTTTATGGAGTAGTAGAGAGGGATCTGTAAAGTACATTGATGGTCCTGGCCTTTCTCTGACTTAACCTCATTATAAAAGCAGGGGGATTGTGGACAAGGTGGTTGTATGTCTCCAGCTGGTGATGCCAAGTTTTGGGGGAGTCATGGGTTGGAGTTGGGGCACTCTTGAGGCCTGAGGTTTGCTGGAGCCTCTTCTGATTAGAATGGGGGCCTCTAGAGAAGGGCTGGGTCAGGGAGCAGGGTGGCTGGAGGTCAGCAGACAGCAGCCTTGAGAGGTTCTGACCCCCACAGGCAGGATTGCCTCTGTGGGTCAGGGTGGAGGTTCTGGTCCATTATGCTTCTCCCCACCCCCATCTCCTTCCTGGTGACTGAGATGCTTTCCCCTTCCTCTGGCTTCAGGTGCCCCTGGGGTTTGGGCTGTGGGTTCAGGTAGGTTCCAGGTGCTTAATGCTAGATTTGAGGCTCTGGGTTCTGGTCCTATCACGGGGATGGCCTCGGGGTTATTTCAACCCGTGACCTGTACTCCCACTGTGCTCCCTGCCTGAGTAAGAGCCTGGAACCGCTAAATGCTGGACTAATTTGGTCACTCCCAGCGCTCTCACGCCCCTTCTGAATTTTCTTTCTCTTTGTTTTTCTCTCCTTGTCTCTAGTTCCCCCTGGTCCTGCCTCTGATTGGTGTCTCTCACGGAGACCAAAGGCTGCAGAGTCAGCAGGCAGGGAATGGGGAGAGGGGAAATTTGGGGCCTGTCCTTCCTTCTGAGCCTGGTAAGGCAGCTCAGGTACCCCTGATTTCAGTGCCTGTTGTCTTTGGAACTTGGGGTTGGGGGAGGGTGCGAGCAGGGCAGCTTCTGCCAGGAGCCCCTCCCCAGCTTCCTTTCCTATATAATTATCTCCTCTGGGAGCCTTGAAGACTAAATTAGGGGGGAGAGCAGGGGTGAACCAAGGGACTTGAAGAGACTGGGATGGGGGGCTGGGGGGCTGGGGGAGCAGCTGTTACTCCTATGAAGAGGCATTGAGATCCAGAGAGGAGGTGGGAGTTTTTGCAGAATTGGCTCCTCCTATACCTTCCAGCACATTCCCTGCCTGCCTGACCTCAGGGGGAAGCTTCGGGTCCCCCTGCCCTCCATGGCCTATGCGGTGGGACATATCTGCCCATAACGTAGGCTTCTCCCTGCCCTCAGTGGAGGCTCTCTCCAAGCTCTAAGCCTTTGCCTGCTCCAGTCCTCCCACCTCTCCAGGCCCAGCTTGGTGTCCCCTCTTAGGGGAGAGAATTGGTGGCTTGTCATAGCAGACAGGGTTTGAGCTTCGGCTCCCAGTCCCCGTGAGGCCTTGGGTTAGTCACGTCTCTGTTCCATGCCTCACCTTCCCCTTCCTGTAGAACGGGGGTAATGGTCTCGGTCTGACAGGCTCTTGTACAGTGAGTGGCTGGTACAGTCACTTCCTTCCTGGGGGCAGGAGAGGGAAAAAACAGGCCCCACCACTCCAGCTGCTTCCAGTGACCAGCCTGGGCCGCTCCTCCCCGCTACCTACTAGTTTCTGAACACAGGGCTAGGTAGTCCTGGCCTCAGTATAACCCGCTGGACGTGAATTGGCTCAGAAGATACTCACCATCTCCTAATTCCCTATCCCCTCATAAAGCCTGGAAGTTCTCCCATCTGCTAGCCTAAATCCCTCCTGCTGTCCCCTTCCTTTTGGCTCCAAGAAGATGGGGAGCAGCTGTCTACTCCCTCCTGCTGGCCTCCATGGAGTAGACAATGTTCCCTTGTTTTAGGCCCAGGGCTCCAGTCACGCTCCCTGGACTGTGGGTGGAGATGGTGTGGTGTGGGCTCCAGAATAAGTGAAGAGAAGAGGCTTTCACACTTTGCTGATGGGGCAGAAACCAGTGTGAACCCAGCCAGGAGCTGCCCTGGTGTAGAGGGGGCCCCTGACCTGACCCCAGGCTGTGTCGAAGTCTCTCAGGTCTCTCCTAGCTGAGTTCATATTTGCCCTTCACATGATGTGATCCCCTCCTCCCCCCTTTGTTGGGAGCAGGGAACCTGGGTACCAGGCCTGGCTCTGCCTCTGACCCACTGTAAGACCTGGAAAGTCATCTTGGGCCTTGGTTTTGCCATCTGTATAATGGGAGGTTAGACTGTCTACTCTTTGAGGCTCTATAGGAAGGACAGCCTACAGGGTAGTTGGCCTGTGGCTGGAAGAGAGAGGAAGGCAGGTCTATGCAAGAGCCATAAGAACGAGGAGCCCAGGGAATGAGGGATAAGGCATGATGGCTTTATTCTGTGGAAACTTGCTTGCTTATGTGCTGGGGGGAGGAGGCAGAGCTGTGGGAGCCTCCCACGCCCCTTGGCATTTCCATTTAGGTCCACAAGGCATAGCCTGGATGATCAGCAACTCTTTAGGGCTTCCCCCACCTTGGCCTCAAAGCAGTGTTGTGGTCCAACCTGCTGCCCTCAGATACTTGATACCCATTTGACAGATGTGACAACTGTCGCCACATCCAGACAAGAAACAGGAAGTGACTTGTCTGTCAGAATCAGATGGGTGGACTCAGAACTTTAGCCTATTGGAATAGCAGTCACTGTGGCTAACATTTTTTAAGTGCTTTCTATATGCCAGACACTCCAAATGTCTCATTCTTCAAATGTGAAAGCTGTGGGAATCTTTAGAGCTGAATTCTTAGAATGTCAGACTTGGACTCGCACTGAATCCTCGAATGTCAGTGTCTTAGAGTTGAAGGGGCCCGTGAGGTCCCTATTTCTTGGTAGGGTTGGCCTGCCATCTGGGTAGAGGAACAGGATCAGGGGGCAGATGGAGGAGTCACCTGCACACCCCTAACAGCCTGAACACCTTTATGGTGGTTATTTAATTCACTGGAGCCTGGGGGTCGGAGTGGGAAGAACTTCAAGACTCAGAAAGGAGAATGTTGAGTCTGAGTTCACACAGTAAGGCAGGGCAGAGCCAGGCCCAAGCACCAGAACCCTGGCCTTGCCATTCACCGCCTGCCCCAGCAGACACGGCCCCCACGCCCAGCCTGCCCCGTCAGCTCTCCGCCTCACAGAGGAAGGCCTGGGCTGCGGCTCTGCGTCACCTTTCATCTCTGCCTCCTCTTGGCAGGGAACCCTCGGAATGGGGGCTCTCCTTTCCCTCCTTGGCTTTTTGCTATGATTTTTCCATGGAAACTGGTTCTGGGAGGGGAGGCGATTAGGACATTTGGAATTCTGAGCGGTACCAAATATCTATAATTAAATGTCTTGTCACCCGGCATGAGGAGGGTGGGAAGGGGGAGTACAGGCCCAGGGCTGTCCCTTTCCTCTGTTTATTCCCTGCTGCCCCACTCCCTTCCGAAGGGCCCTGGGCTAATGGGGGGAGTGTGACCCAGGAGTGGTCCCCCCACCCCCCAGCAGAGAAGAGTTGGAGGATGGACCAGAGTTGAGCCTGACATTTTCCAGCCCCACATTTCAGGGACCAGCTGGGTTCGGGAGGCTGGCAGCCTCTGCTAATCCTGTCCCCAGCCCCCAACCCAGTGTAAGAACTTGCCCCTCCTGCTTTCTTCCCTCCCATCTGTGATCTCTCAGGCTACACATGCCCCCCTCACAGTGGAGGGGAGGCACTCCCAGGCTGCCGGGGGAGCGGAAACACTCAGAGCTTTCAGAATCTAGAAGCCGACTGAAGGGGCTGTAGGATGTTGAGGGACTGGCCTCATGCTGGCAGGGGAGGCTTCCTGGAGGAGGCTCTGCTTGAATTTGGCCTTTAAAACTGAAGAGAGGGCCCTGGCTGATGTGGCTCAGTTGGTTGAGCATCATCCTGTGCACCAAAAGGTCACTGTTTTGATTCCTGGTAAGGGCACATGCCCAGGTTGCCGGTTCGATCCTCAGTCGGGGTGTGTACAGGAGGCAGCCAATAGATGTTTCTCTCTCCCTCTCCCTTCCTGGTGGTCTAAAACAATCAATAAAAACATATTTTTAAACAATTGAAGAGAAGGAGGGATTCTAGGAGGAGGGCATAGCATGAGCAGAGGCTAAGAGGTTGGAAAGAATATGGCAGGTTGCATGCAGTCAGAGTTTGTTTCAGAGACTTGGGTGACCCTTGATAGGGCAATGCATTCATCCATTTAGCAAACACTTAGCCTCTAGACCAGGGGTCCTCAAACTTTTTAAACAGGGGGCCAGTTCACCGTCCCTCAGACCGTTGGAGGGCCGGACTATAGTTTAAAAAAAAACTATGAACAAATTCCTATGCACACTGCACATATCTTATTTTGAAGTAAAAAAACAAAATGGGAACAAATACAATATTTGTATTTGTATGTGGCCCGCGGGCCGTAGTTTGAGGACCCCTGCTCTAGACACAGGTTTTCTTCTAGGCCCTGGGGATACATCAAACTAAGGCCTGGCCTCATGAAGCTTCCAGACTAGAGGAGGCCTGTCTGTAAATGGGTACATTGTGAGTCAGAGATGCAGGGGCTGCACAGCAAAATGAAGC